ACTACTACTACTACTACTACTACTACTACTACTACTACTACTACTACTACTACTACTACTACTACTACTACTACTACTACTACTACTACTACTACTACTACTACTACTACTACTACTACTACTACTACTACTACTACTACTACTACTACTACTACTACTACTACTACTACTACTACTACTACTACTACTACTACACCTACTACTACACCTACTACTACTACTACACCTACTACTACTACTACTACTACTACACCTACTATTACTACTACTACTACACCTAATTCTACTGCTTCACCTTCTATTTTTACTACCAATCGAAATCAATTAATGAAAGTTAAAAATTTAAAATTATTTATTTCAAACTCCCAAAGATGTAATAGACTAAAAGAAATTGGAAGACAAATGTATCATAGTAATATTGAACTTTTAAGCAATTATAATATCATTTCATCACCATCAAATAACATCAAATTTAAAAAATTTATTTTAGAAATAGATGGATTGGATTATGATTTTGATTTTGAATTGGAGGATATTAACAATATATCAATAAGACAGGATGCAGTTGTATATGCCTGTGACAAAGCAATTATTTCTAGAGAATCATATAGAATGTTAACAAATATATATCCTGATTTAGAATGTTATTATAGAATTGAAGCACAACGTATTGAAATTCAAAATATTATTAATAACTTAGTTCCAATTAAAACTTTTTTTGTTAATGATATAAACAATAATAATAATCAAACAAATAATAATAGTCAAACAGCAAATAATAGTAGGGTTGGAACAAGTTTTATTAATGAAAATACTAATATAGAAAGTGTAGGCTTATATGATGGAGATGGAGCATATCGATCAATAAGATCTATTTTAAATATTTTAATACCACCATTAAAATGTTCATCAACATTTAGTTTTTTTAATAATATATTGAAAATCAAATTAAGTGGTGATGGACATTTGGTCGGAAAGAAACAAAATCAAGTGATTTTAACATTTTGCTTATTAAATGAAGGTGAAAATGTTTTAAAACCTGATCATCAACATAGGTAAATATATTTTTATAATACCTTTTTAAAAAAAATTTTTTTAATAAAAATTAACATATAATTAGCATATGTATTTATATTGGAAAAGAAAAGAAAAACTCTTTACAACTTGCTTGGAGTTATTTTACTGATGAAATAAAAGATATAAAATCAAATGGATATATTGATCCAGATAATTTTCATTGGGATGTTGAGTTTTTATTTCAGCTGATTGGAAATTTCTTCAATTAGTTCGTGGAATCAAAGCTCCCACCAGTGAATATTTTTGTCTTTATTGTGATTGTTCAAAGTTTCAAAGAGCAAATATGAATATTCAATGGAGTAACACTTATAATACAAAAAAACAAAGTAAATATTTAAGTTTATATTATTTTTATTTAAATTATAAAATTATATTAACAATAATTTTTAAATAGGTTTTAATTATGATTGTTTATTGCCTATGATTGATCATAAAAACTGGATACCAGATGCGTTGCACTTAATGCTTAGAATCAGTGATGTATTATTAGAATGTTTATTTTCAGATCTTTGTAGAAATTTAAAAAAATTTGAAAATGAAATGGCTAATAGAATAATCAAAGAAACCAGAAGAATTGGAATAACCAAATTTGAATTTTATGATTTAAAAAGTTCTAAATGCAACTGGACAACCTTAAATGGATCAGATAAATTGAAATTTTTAGAATTTTTTCTTGTTTCTAAATTTTATAATAATGAAAAGGGGATTAACATAGAAAAAATGTGGAGAGAATTTGTATGTTTGTATAAATTAATTAGAAAAACTGCATTGAGTGATATTGAAATAGATAATTTTCAAAAAGATGTTAAACAATGGATTAAAACATTTACTAATATATATCATAGTGAGGATGTTACTCCTTATATGCATGTGTTTGCCATGCATTTACCACAATTTTTAAAAGAATTAAAAAATCAAGCATTATCATTGTGTTTGTTTTCTTCTTCAAGTGTAGAAAAAAAGAATCATCATCATGTGAATATAATATTTCCTTTATTTTTTTTTTTAAAAAAAAAAAGATTTTATATTAATTAATAAATTTTTTTTTAGGTTCGTTTGTTTTTTGAAATTACTTGTATGGGTGGTGGTGAAAAAAAACAATCAGCTGTATATAAAATATTAAATTTTGAGAATAGACAATTATATTATCTAAAAAATAATACACCTTCATCATTCAAAAAAAAATATTATTCGTATTAATCCAATTGATTCAATTAACTAAATTTTATTTAGAATTCACATTAAACTCAACCTTACAAAATCCACATTTCATATTATTTAAAAATTTTTCTCTCCAAAGAGATTTGATTTCTGGTTTTACTACTCCATCATCCTCCATCACAACAAAAGAAATTGTACCAGTTGCATTGTTTTTTCTCTCCCACCATTTATAATTATTTAATATTATACTTAAATTATTCCTTCCTTCAATATTTTCAAATTTACAAATATAGTATCTTTTAATAGGATAATAAAAAAAATTTTCTTCTTGAAAAAAAAGCATTGCAAAAACGTTTTCAGGAAAGGTTCCAAAATGAATTTCTTAACACCAACATGATGTCTATTGAATCCCAGTTTTTTTTGAATGTTGATTATAATACATTGTTTTAATTCTTCTATATCATTAGATGATGATAAAACTGAAAAATGTGGAATTATTTTGTTGAATTTATGATATTTGTTTTCATGATTCCTTAATGTAATTTTTGATTTCAACAATTTACCACATAATATGCAGTTAGATTTATTACTTATTTGTTCTAATACCACTGGTGTTGGTTGATAAGGTGGTGTTGATGTTGATTCAGGAGATGATGACAAAGATGTTATTGATTGAGACAACAATATTGATGATGTTGATGTTGATGATGTTGGTTGAGACAACAATATTGATGATGTTGATGTTGATGATGTTGGTTGAGACAACAATATTGATGATGTTGAAGGATGCGGTGCAATTGCTCTAAATTTCATTCTATTAATTTTAATTGTTAACGTGTATATGAAAAAATATATTAAGCCCTTTAACATAGATTAATAATGACCAATGAGTTCCACCTCTTGGTTGATTTACATTTAAATTGTTATTTATTATCATAAAAAATATTTCTGATGAAAATACTTGATTTGGGATAACATTTTTAAAATATTTTGTATCTTTAAAATATAATTAATAAATAGGTATATCTAAAAATAAATAATAATCATCAAAATGTAACGCCCATGTGTCATTAATACTTTTTCTTTTGCCAATTGAACAAATTGGCCCATATGTTTTTCTATATAAAAAAATTTAATCGTACAAATTTGTACAATAGATTTAAGGGATAATTAAACTCTTTAATGGTAACACGAATTAAAGGTTTGATCATTCTTATTGGTCAATTTAATAATCAGCATCAGTCAATCGACCAACTTTTAAAGAAGATTTTACAAAAACCACAAGGACAACAACTGGATTTTTATTTATAGATTAATCGGCTGGATCTCAAAGATAATTTTCGTATTAGAAAGTGATGCCCTCAGAAAAAATTTTATCAGCTATCAATAGCCAATTAACTATTTAGGGGATAACATTACATTATTAATAATGATAACAGAGAGAACAAATAAAATTTTAAACCAACTTTAGAGAATTGTCAAAGATTTGATGCACGAATGATACTCATCAAAAATATTAATAAAGTGATCCTCAAATCAAAATCAAATCAATTCTAAATCTACTAATAATTAACTTTTTTTATGGTAGTTCATAATTTTTTTTTTTTGGTTGAAGTTGCTGTTTCATGTGATCCAATATGATCAGCAGCATCATTGCCATCAATCTTTTCAATTACTTTTCTCTTGCTGCTGCTTGCAGCTGTTCCACCTTCTATTGTGGATTTCCTTTTATTTTGTTAGTTGAAGTTCCTGTTTCATAATCGCCATTTCTTTCTTTGCTGCTTGCAGCATTTGACCCAACTTAACATCTTCAACTTCCAAGGTAGTTTCTGTTTCATGTAGTCTCATTCTCAGCAACTTGTTGTACTGTTGCGTCCCTCACATTTAAGAATTTTCCATGTAGGGAGTGAACTCCCGCTATACAATGATATTGTAATTAGCTAATTACCGTAAATACGTAATTCGTAATTAACGTAATTAATTACCACTTTCACTCTTTAAAAACTTAATTACGTAATTAATTACGGGTGACGAAACTAATTACGGGCGACAAATTAATTACTATTGTGAAAATTTTCTATGCAAACCGTTGTTAACACTATACATGGGATGGTAATTGCCTAATTACCGTAAGTACATAATACGTAATTATCGTAATTAATTGCCATTTTTCTCTTTAAAAACATAATTAAGAAATTAATTACCGTATTGTGGGTGACGAAACTAATTACGGGTGGCGAAACTAATTACGGTGACGAAACTAATTACGGGTGACGAAATTAATTATGAATAACAACAAATTAATTATTGGAAATATCATAATACAAGTCACTCCCGTTATAACAACACTCTCCGTACAAGCAAAAAATGTCAGTATGACGAGAATGTCATTATAACGGGAGTTCATATAAAAGTCATATGAGAATCATTATCATGTGATTTTGTGATTTTATTTTTATTATATATTTTTTTTTTATTTCATTCATGTTTTATCAGGAAATTTAAAGCCTACGCCGGGTCAAAATTGACCAGCCTTATACAGAATTGTTATCAGAATTTTCCATGATGCCGGTCAATCTTGATCCCGGCGTAAGTTTTATTTCCTTATGTTTTTTCAGAAATGAGAATGATTTTGATTGGTTCTCCCATTATACTGACATGTCGTTATAACAGAATAAATTCTAAAAAGTTGATAAATTATGTCATTATACTAGTATAACGAGATGTCCTTTAATTTCATCATCCGTAATTGATTTCGTCACCCGTAATTGATTTCGTAATTAATTTCGTAATTACGTATTACATATTACGTATTACGTTTTTGGCAAAATAATTACCATCTCATGTATAGTATTGATAATGATAAATATTTAACAATTGTGGGAAAATATATGGTTAATAATATTTGGGCATGATTAATCTAGAATCTACACCACAGAAAATATTTATAATCAAATCTTATCATTTTGTATTTCAAATGAAATATCATATCATAAAATAATTCATTTTGGAAGTGATGGAGCTTCTAATATGACAGGAAATAAAAGTGGTGTTGCTACAAGATTAAAAAAAATCAACCCTTTTATGTCCTCAATTCATTGTATATCACATTGACTTCATTTAGCTGGAAAGGATGCTTCTGATGAAGTAGAATATTTTCAAAAATGTGAAAAAGTATTATGAGATTTATATTCATATTTTTCTAGATCACATAAAAGGCAAAACTTATTAAAATTGATGCAGAAAATTAGTGATGAGCCAACACTTAAAGTATTGAATTTGTGTAACACTCAATGGTTATCATTATCAAGTTCTGTATATACTAATGATACCTGATGAAATGTTTTTGTAGGCGGGAAATTATTTCGTCAAATCATTGTTAATTTTGTCACATTTGGCGAAATGGTAAAATGTGGTAAATTGATGAAATGTGACAAAAAGAGGAAAATGTGACAAAAAGAGGAAAATGCAACGAAAAGGGGAAATGTGACAAAAAGGAGATATTATAAACAATTCTAAAAATTATAATAATTACAAGAACTTACAATAAAACTTTTTTCTGTTGTTCCACATAGTGCTGGCTGCGAGCAAAATTTTTCAAATTTATAGTACAAGAAGGCATAATTTGAATTTAGAAAAAGTAGAAGATATGTCAAAAATCTATAGTTATTACCTTGCACAAACTAAAAAAGAAATTCAATATTATGGGCAGAAATTATCAGAAGAGCTTAAAAAATTAATAAATGATACAGGACTTATTTCTGATGATAATGATGATGATGATGATGATACAGTGAATGATTTTTCTGGTGAAGATGAAGAGGTATTAAATAATATACAGAACCAATTTCTGGATATATGTGAAATCATAGATTTAAATAATGAAGTATTTTGTGATAGTAATGCTGAATATTCAGTTGAAACTAATCAATTTACGAATTTTCTGATAATAATTATGATCCAAGAGATTTAGTAAAAGATACCTTTGTTGAAGAAGATGAATTTGAAAGTGAACATAATTCAGAAAATAGTTATTTTCATGATCATTGCGAAGTTAATGAAACTGATAGAAATAATTATTTAGAATGAGAATGTTATGATATTGATAACAATTCTGGAAATAATACAAATGAAGATGAAGATGATGATAATAATTCTCAAAAATTAGTTAGAAAAAATACAAACTAAGAAACATAATTTACGTAGCTCATCCAAATTTGACTCGGACAAAAGAGTAAAAAAATAAAAAAAAAATTATTAAATTTTCTCTTTATATTTTAAATTTTAAATTATTATTGCAGATTATTACAAAAATTTCTTTATGAAAATGGTTATTTTTTCTCTCTTGCCAATTTTTTCTTTTTGTCAACTTTTCCTCTTTTTCCTTTTCATCAATATGCTCTTCATGGTAAATTACATTTCGTCATGTAACATTTCGTCAGGTATTATTATTCTGTACATAATTTACATCAAATCGTGAATTCAGTACTTGCTAACTTAAATGATGATATGTTAGAAGGTGATGGGCATGCAATTGTTTTACTTGGGCAATTAGATCAAGACTTCATTTCTCCAACAATGTTTCTTGCTGATTTAACAAATATTTTGAAAAGATTAATAAAAATATTCCAATCAGATAATCTATCCTTATCACAATATAAACCAAACATTGATGCTGCAATAACAGCAGAATTTATAGGTGATGGAGAAGTTCCACCAAATCATGGCAAGATATTCAAAAATTATTTAGAAAAAAATTATCTTTCAGCACTTTCATTTGTTAAATATTACTCATTAGCAATGATAAAAGCCATCAATAATAGATTCCCTGGTTCTGAACTATTTTCTTTGTTTAGAATTTTTGATCTAAATGAACTTCCTGATAATGAAAATGATTTAAATCAATATGGTCAGAGTGAAATAGAATTTTTAGGTAAATTTTATAGAGATACTAAATTGGTAAATGATGAATTTTGTGAAATTGTTGAAAAAGGAAACTCACAGAAGAGTGGAACTCTTTAAAATCCTATCTATATCACTATAAAGTACAGAATTGTATTTTATTCAATTGTGGAAACACATTTTGGATACAGACAAAAATTTTTATTTCAATTATCCAAATTTAACAGTTATTGTTAAAATAGCACTCCTTATACCCTTTTCCAATGCACATGTTGAAAGAATATTTTCACAAGCAAACCTGATAAAAATCAAGTTGAGAAACAAAATGCATGTAGATACATTGAATAATCATTTAATGATTTTATTAAATGGTCCAGATATTCGAGATTTTAATTTTGAAAAAGCATATGAACATTGGACAAATAAAAAAGAAAGAAGATAATAATTTTTATTTTATTATTTACTTGATATCAAAAAAATTTTTTTGATAACAGTATATGCACCACAATCAGTAAGAAAATTTCTAAAAAAACTAAAAAAATGCAAAAAATTGGGGAATAATATGTTTAAATCAACAAACACAATATATTACATGTACATTTAATATCAATTATTTTTGATTTTTAATCAATTCTTTTTTTTGATACAAATTCCATACGGCCTGACATCTTCGCCACTCTTTGAGATCCAATAATCACCGACACCAGTTGTGCTTGTCCTAATCTTTTCCAAATTCTTGGGATTTACTCGATTTTGAATTATCAATATGTATTTCACTCCCTCAAATACAAACTCCGGTGCATACAATTCAGCCACTGCCACATCTGGCGTGGAATAAATACCATGGCCAAAAGCAAACCGTTTCCCTTTGCTCAATAAGTATCCATCAGCAGCAATTGAATTCGCATTATGATTAGCAGTGCCATGATATGTTACCGGCCAAGAATCCTTGTCAGTACCAAGCCATTTGTCATCACCGTTATCGTACTTTCCGGTAACCTTTAAAGCATAACGTTTCCATCCGCACGGACGTTGATAAGAAACGCCGCCACGTTTATGTTTAATTCCATTGTCATTAATATTTGTAAAATCATAATTATATTCTGGATGCAAAAAATCGGAGCTCAAACAACTGATTACTTCTCCACCACCACGAAGACGTAAAACAAGATGTAACATACTTTCGCGTTTAATATCATAGTCAAAAATCAGCCTACCATCCTCCAACTGCTTTCCATCAAAAATTAAACGTTGTTGGTCCGGTGGAATGCCTTCTTTATCTTGAATTCCCTGTTTTATTTTATCAATGGTCGAAAGGCTACTGAAACATAGCTCAATAATTTTACCAGTCAGAGTTCTTACATAAATAATATCTTGGAGCATCAAGCCTAAAACAGATAACGTACTTTCGCGTTTGATATTACATTCAGAAATCGTTCTACCATCCTCCAACTGCCTTCCATCAAACATTAAACGTTGTTGGTCCGGTGGAATGCCTTCTTTATCTTGAATTTTCCGCTTTAGTCCATAAATGGTCAAAAGGCTATTGAAAGGTAGCTCAATAGTTTTACCAGTCAAAGTTTTTACAAAAATAATATCTTTGGGTGTTGGATCTAATTTCCTGACCGAGACTGAATCTAATTTCTGAACCGAGAATGAGTCTACTTTACCACCTACAAGGCTCGCTTGATGAAATGAGGGCAAGTCAACCCGTTGACTACTGACGTAATGACCTTGGGCTTCTTTTATATTGTACTCATTTTCCGAAACAATATTTTGGCCACCTATTAAAGTATTAAGTGCAGCGTTAAGAAGATTGTTGTTTAACATTGTTGAAAAATTAAATAGGTTACTAAGATTATAATTGTTGTCTTTAAATATTAACTTTTGTATGACGATATTCCCATTTTGTCAAGATAATAGGGTAAATATCTAATTTAGTAACGAATAATATTAATATTAACATTTGTATCTCATTAGAGTTACGAATTTGGATTGTCATTATAACAACAATAAAGCAGAAGAAGTTGATGAGGAACAACTAAAAGTGGCAAAAAATGTATTGACAGCTTTACAAAGATGAACAATTGCGTTCTGATGTAATATTTTACGTTTCCTAACTAACTATATATATAATTACTTGATAAATTAGAAAATTAAAGCTGAATATTAAAAAGATAAATAAATTTGGAAATAAAAAATTTGATATATACACATATTAATTAATAATAATGATCATTATTGGCAAAACCCAATATTAATAACAGATTGATACACAAAAATTTTTCATTTTCATAAAATTTTTTGCGAGAACACCAAATAATGTAATGGTAATTAATTTTGTATAACACTAGTACTAATAACTGATTTTCTAAAAAAAAAACCACCTTGTCATGGAAATCTACAAATAATATATATTAATTATTTATTCTTAAAAATTATTAAAATAATGAAGAAATTCTTGGGCTCAACCGGGAATTGAACCCGGGTCTCTCCGACCCGAACGGAGAATCTTACGACTAGACCATTGAGCCAGAAAATATTATACAATTTTGACTTAAATTAATATTTAGTAATTATTGCTAAATAAATTTTTTTACAGTTTAGGTCTTAAAATTTTATTACATAATAATAAACTTGTCCTTTTATTGTTACTGCTTTTTTTTAAAATTTATTAATTTATAATTTATTACCTGTTATTAATTAATTTATTTATTAATCAATTTTTATTATAAAAAAATTTACAAAAAAAAATTATTCTACAAAATTTCGTCACTTGTCTATTGTATACTATATTATTAATAATAATAAATATTATTATGGAAATTATTGTGTTTATATATGTGTGGTGTAAATGCGAGTGTAAGTGGGTGTATAAATATTATATATATTTTTTAATTTTTTTCTGTTGATAAAATTTCAATTAATTTACAAATTTTTATAATTTCTAAAATTCCCAATCCATCCATCCGTCAATTACAGTTCCATATCTCTCGACCCATCTATCCCCCATCACAGTTCTCTGTCTTTCGAACCTGCCTCTCCTCTATCATCATCACGATTCACGGTTTCGGCTTTTCCCTGTCCATCAATTAATCCCACAATTCAATTCAAAACTGTTTTGCTTGATTACTCCAGACAATCATTCCAATCCACATTGTTTCTTTCGGCAGGCAGGTATACACTACTAGTATCTGAATAGCTACCTTCACCAGAATTGAAATAGTGAATTATCTCACCGCCACTATTATCAGAATCAAAAATGCTATTTCTGACACCATAATAAACTAAATCCAGTGAGTTTATATCACTAATAATACTATTATTACTAGCAAGATTACTGCTATTGTATAGTTTATTTGCCAATGGAGATTTAATATTATTATTTATACTTCCGTTAACAGGTCTTTGAGTACTATTTCTACTATGGTTACTGCTATTGCAATTACTATTTCCAAATAAGCCGCCACTATGATTGCTATTATTATTACTATGCCTTTTACCGGCACTGCCACTTCCACTTCCACTACTACTTCCACCATCGAGTCCAAGACATGTAAGACACGAGCCACAAGTACAACCAATTAATAAATTTCCGCCACCAACCCCACCACCGTTAATATCAACATAATTACCATCAAATCCATCAAAAACATTTATACTGTTTTGTTCAAATAATACATCTGCATCAATTATTTTACTTGATTTTTTTTTCTTAATATTATTACTACTGTTGTTTCTTATTATTTTGCTTGTACTTAAGACCCTCGATTTTAAAGTTGGTCTCGGTATAGCGATGGGTTTTTCGCTATGATCAAGAGTATTTTTATAACTAGATATCCATATATCTTCCTCTTTTACTTTGTTGTTTTTATTATTTCTTCGTAGTAGTTTACCATTACCTCCGGTTAAACTTGATAGTATTGATGGTAACCATCTGCTCATACCGCTACCACTATTACCACTATTATTTCGATCATCTGGATTTTGACTGTTAGTTTTTTTGAATTTTTTGAAAAAAAATAATACACCAATACTAAATCCTGCCGTTATAACCACTATCGCGATGATAGTTGCCACCGTGATCTTTGACAAGTGAGAAGTATCAGATAAAGTTGTTGGAGTATTGTCTCTATCTGATGGTGATAATGATGGATTGCTATCAATTGTTTTTGAATAATTACTACCGCTAGAATTTCGATTATTATTATTATCCATTGTTGTTGGTTGATTATTTGGTCGTGGTCGTGGTCGTGGTCGTGGCGAATTTGGATCATTTGATTGTTGTGATGGTGATGGTGCATTGGGATCATTTGGTTGTTGTGATGATGGTGATGGTTCATTGGGATCACTTGGTTGTGTTGGTGTTGTCTGAGCTGTTGGTATGGTATTTATAACTCTATTATCATTATCAGTTGAATTGATAATTGACTGTGATGCTGATGGTGGCGATGGTGATTGTGATGGATCAGTTGGTGGTGATTGTGATGGATCAGTTGGCGCTATTATTGGCTGTGATGAATCTATTGGAGGAGGTAAAGGAGGTTGTGTAGTTATAGGTTGAACTTGAGTCAGAGTCTGAACATTTTGTGAAGTCGTTGGTGTTGGATCAAAAATTCTAGTAACAGTATTACCCACAGTGTTCTCAGGTATCGATAAGGTTGGAAGTAATGTGTCATCAGTTTCTGTAGGGGTATTGACTGTGTTGATGACATCCGTATTATCATCTGATGATGTTGTTTCTGATACAATTCTAGTAGCAGTAACACTCGTAAAAGTATCAATAATTGATATGGTTGGAAGTTGTGTACCATCGGTTGTTAGTGTGGTTGGAGGTTGTATATCATCAGTTGTTACAGATGTATCTGATTTGGTTGTTTTTGATATGGTGGGAGGATAGTTAGAAGATGAAGGAGGGTCACTTGTTGGTTTTGGATTATCGGATTTCAAGGGATTTGTTTCCTTGTTACTATCACTACTCTTTGATGTGACTGCTCTAACTTTTATTCTTGACTCTTCGTATTCTTTACGCTTTATTATCATATTATTGTCACTTTTTTTTTCTAAAGTTTTTTCACACAAATTTTTAATAAAACTTTTCTTAAAGAATCATAAAAAAAAAAACTTCCTAATTTTTGACACATTACCTTTTGTTAAATTACTTTGTTTAAAATTATCAACATTCCCAATAATCATATTAAGATAAAAATATAGTAAATTAGTAAAATTAAATGAATAATTGTTATTTTGCGTTCATCAAATATTTTTTATTAAAGAATTGGTTGGTATATAAATATAAATATGTGTGTATAAGTTAGTAGTATGTGTGTCTATTAATAAGGATAAATAGCCGTTTATGGAGTGTGAGTGTGAGTGTACGGGTGTGAAAACGAGTGTGTAGGAGGAAAGAGTGAACTTGGTTTATTACGGTTACGGTTATGGTTATGGTTACTATGTTGATAAATAATACGGGTTCTAATAGGTAAAAAAATAAAGGAAATCAATTAGTAAATTTAATTTTTCCATATTTTTTAAATGATGAATGAATGTAGGGATGATTGAGTGTTATACGCATTCATAGTGTTCATTGTCAGCATTCATTATTCATTCATTTTCTTTTTAGGAAACAATGCTATATTTATTTAATATCTAACATATAATAATGGACAATTAATAATTACTTTAATGTATATCTGTAGTTTTTTTTTTTTCTTTTTTCTCTGCCTTTTTTACTTTTTCATAACAACAGCTCAAAATTTTTATTTTTTAAATAAACGAGTGAATGGATTAATTTAATAATGAAATTAATCAATTAATGAATGTTGTAATAGGGTAGGTGTTGGTGGAATATATGATAAAAATAATGAGCGGAGGATAGGAAAAAATAGTTAAAGAAGAGAGGAGACGAAGCGAAACGAGACAAAAAAAAAAAAAAAAAAGAATAATAATGATGTCTAATATGCAAATTGTACATTAGATGTAATGTAATGATTAATTTTTTTTTGTTTGACGTAGTAATTGATGTGTTGGTTAATAATATATAATCAGTTAAGACGGGCTGCTTCATTCAATTAATTTCATTTGTACGATCAACAAAGAGAAATTTTTATATAAAATTAAATTTAGAAAAACAAAACAAATATCAACAAAACATTCTTTTATTGAATTATTATATGAATATGGTAATGGAAACAGTTTAAAGAATATTATTTTGAATTTCCAAACTAATATATTCTGAATAAGAAATATATACAAAAGAAAAAATTTCTAATTCCAATTCTGTAAGTGGAGTGAAAAAGCATGTGTTTAATTTAAACAGAAAGAAGAAAAAACAAACAAACAATAAAATAAATAAAATCACAAATTAAAATTTGCCATACCTAGAATTTATGCGTGTTTATTATTATTTATTATTATTATTATTATTATTATTATTTTTATTATTATTATTATTATTATTATTAATTATTATTATTATTATTAATTTTATGTCAACTATATTCCATCTACATATTAAATTAAATATATCTGATATCAAATAATTATGATTTACCATTTATTTCTCTCGAAGATGCTTTAATTACTTTGGAAACCGACAAGAAATTAATTTATTGATCTTCTTGTTATTTTATTTACATTCGCATTGCTACAAAATAGGAAATAATTATATCGTGATTAAAATATCAATTCAACAAAATATTAAAATGAAAAACATCATCTGCTTTTTCCTCGCAAATAATATTAATGTTAATGTCAATCCAAGTCTATATTAATGTGTAAATATATAAGCATAAATTTAATCACTTACATTATCTATCCACATCTGCATGCTACATATTATTATTTATTATTATTATTATTATTATTATTATTATTATAATACTGTTGAATTAATTAATTCTCGGGAATGTAATTAATTTCAACCGAAGAAATAAAGAAACTCGTAGAATATGCTATATAACCTAGATCTGCTCGTAAGCTATGTCAATTAGTAAACTAAAACTTGTTGTACAATACAAAAAGAAAATTGTTGATTATTAAATTATTTAACGACAAAGGTTTCCGTCAAGTTTTGAAAACAAAACAATTCGAGATCACTTTTAATTAAAATGACGACTATGAATATTATGAACATATTTCCCATAAAGCATTCTCAAATTAAAATTTGGCTAAAGTAAAGGTTGAGGATATTGTATTTTTATACACGGAACTTTCGTATAATTATGTATATAAGATAATTTCCAATTAAAATTCCTTCCTCTTTGCATATCATAAATCCTACCTAAAATTGTTCAAAGAAGTTGAAAAGCAAGTTGTAAAGAAAATAGAACCCATCATATATATAGACACTTTAAAATTATATAAACTAATAAAGCATACTTGTTATTTTCCAAAAATTTAGTTGCAGTGTTGACAAATTACCATTTTTCAAATGACTTGCTCAAAAATTTATAATAAAATAAAAGTCCATTTCAAGGACATTCGCTTAGTTGTACTTGCTAATAAAATTCACTCGAAGTTTACCGGGATGTTTTCGTTCATCAAGTCAAGCCGCAATGCTAAACTGTAAGGTACCATCATCATTAATTGTGTTAATAAAAACACTCTTGGATAAATACTTTCTTTTTCAATTAAAATATCATCAAACTTTTATTTACTCTCAGCCACATATGTATATTCAATTTAAAAATAATTAATTTTATACACCTCAAGTTCTTCTAGTCTACCACCATTTTCAAGATCCAAACTATTTTCATAAGAATCTCCAAAATCGTCACCAAAACAATAACCACAATAGGGTACATTATTAAAATTACATAGAAATAAATTATGAAAACTAATAGTGATATCTATTTTATCACATGGTTTAGAATGACATATTGCTCTTTTAGGTTGTTTGACTCTACTTAAAATTGAATTATTTATTTGATTTTCACAAATCTTAAAAATAAAACTTTTATTTGCTTCAATATAATAATCTTCATCTGGTGACTTTTCTTTTATATTCCAGCTAACAGGATTATAGCCACCAACTAATTCTCCTGTTTCTTGAATCTTCATTATAATCACAGTTTGTCCAATATTAAAACATTTTTCCTCAAAGTCTGACCTAGAAAACCCATCTTGTGATCCACAAAGAATTAATTTAAATTCATAATAATAAGGTAAATTCTGGTTAAATTTTTCATCAATCCAGCTGGAAAGTAAACTTTTTTTTAAAAAATTTAATAATTTTCCCCCTGTTATTTTTGTTCTTGGACCATTTTGAAGTAATAATCTTGGCTGCCAGTTATTGCTAAGGTAATATTCAAGTATTTCTTCATATATATCTTTATTAAAAGCTTTTCTATAAGGTTTAATTTTACCATGAAAATCTGTTGAAGAAATTTGATTGAACCTTATCAATGGAATAATATCTTCTAACATATTTTTCAATTTAATAAAATCACCTTTATTCCAATCTGATATATTTTTTTCCAATTCTTCATTTTGACTTATTCCCCATTGTATAATATAATTCCAAATCTCAATTTCTTTTACTACTAAATTTTCTTTTTTTAATATAAACACTAGTATGGGCTTTTCAATATCTTTAAAATCGTCAGATTTTAAAAATAATGCTGGATTTTCATCAATTAATTTTCCACAACAATCTTGAAGTAAGTCAAATGATTGGTGATTTAATGAAATTTTGTGAAAATAAATTAAATCCTGTTGAATCCATTTTTCTTTTTCAATAATTAAGTAACTTTCTAAATCTTTAATTAGTTCATCAAAACCTAACTCATCACATGCTTCAAGAAGTTCAAGAGTCTCATTTGGATTCAAATTATCTATATTCATAATCCCATTGTAAATATACCTTTTTAAAATTATACAAAAAAATTAAAAATTCTATTTTAATCACTCATAATTAATTAATCAATAAATTAATAAATAAATAATCCTTACATTAAAAGAACCTCAAATACTTTTGGAGAAATGTTTTCTTTTTCAAATAAAATAATACCACCATTATCATCAGGTTTTTTAATCCAATTACTTGATAAGGCAGCTTTAAAATATGAAGACCTTGCTTTTAAAATTGTTGAATGGGCTTTAAAGATTTTAACATTGTCATCACTTCCAACTTTAAATTTCAACATCATAAAATTCAGACCTGCTTAACAATGTTGTAAAATCATTCATGAGTTTAATAATATATTTTAATGGTAAAGCAACATTGTCACATTTAATAAGATCATTAAATATGTCAATATTTTCAAAAAATGAAAATTTATTGTTTGACATTGATAATAAATAATAAATGGTTTTTTTTTAAGAAAAAAAATTGGTATTGTCGCATAAATCATTTAAACCCTCCTCCTCTCTCTCATAAAAATCATTCGAGGCTGCATATGTTTAAATTGTTATCTATCGTGAAATTTTGTTAGATTAACAGACTTGTAGAAGGTGCTCCAACTTCCGTCCATGTTGCTCTCCTACAAGACCTTCTCTGTCAATTAGTAAAACTTGATATAGATCAAAATTATTATATATACTTTCCTCTTTAGTTATATAGAGTTTAACAAACAATATTTTGGTTTCTTCGAAATTATTATCTAATTGTATTAGAAAAGTGATTATTGCAAACACCTGAAAAAAAGGTATCTTCCTTTTTTTCCTAGTCATATACATATATATCCAATGTTTGTTTGCTATTTTTTTGATAGAATTTTTGATTTTAATTTTGGTCAATACATTGTATCAATCGAAAGCCACTTTGTTTGAAAAAGAAAAAAGAATGAAAGCGAAAATTGCGAGTAAAACGATTAAATCATTTTTCACCAGGAAAATATTATAAACTAATTCATTTTCTTTACATCATTTTATTAATTAAAATAAAATTTTTTAACACTTGTTTTTTACATTATAATTAATGAGTTTGAAATATTTTCGTATTGAACTCAAATTTGGTAAAATGTATATTAAACCCTGGACATCCCCATTCTTATTTGAACACGCCCTTAACAAAATTGGAATATCTTACATATATCTCATTAAAAATTACTTTCTTGTGTAATTAAAGAGATGCGTCGTTTGTATTTTTTTATAACAATGTTGTGTGTAATTTCGGTGTTAATGGAAAATCTTTTATCACTAAATGATACTAAATGATACAAAAGAAGAACGCAAGGTGATACAGTCAAACTCTT